TGATGTAACTTGTGAGGCAGTACATAGTTGACTGGAACAGACTAGATGATTTATGGACCTAACAGAGGGAAGATATTGCTGAGAGTGGGCAGTTAGATGCATAGCGTTGAGGTTTATCCATTAATTTTTTTCTGCTGCCCCTTGGTTGGAGAAGAGGTATGGGTTGCAGCATGTGCTTGTACTTTGATCTTTATGTATATGGGACGCTGGACCCGTTTCCAGCACGTGCTGCTCCCCACGAATAGATGGAGTCATGAATTGATTGTAAAAAAAAAAAAAAAAAAAAAGCACATCATGTGAGACGTTTAGTCTTGTGGAGGACACAATGTGGAATAGAATCGAAACTGCAACAGCCTGTCGACTGTCTCAGCATCGCCCTTCTGCCTCGTTTACAACATTGGATATGGGAGGTTCTGGAGTATAACATCTCTTCTGTTTGCTGTCAGAAGGCGGACGGACCTGATTCGATAAAGCTGCAGGAAGTGGGCTACTCTGTCCCCATGCCAGCCCTGCACTGAAAAAGGGGCTGACTTGGCAAGCATCGGCTGAACATTCGGTCACATTGTGCGACACCAAGAGCAGCTGAAGAGGGTCGGAGAGTCGTCAGCGGCTTGACACAGGTCCAGTTTGTGGCGCTTCACACAAGGGAGTTTATTTACTCACCTCTGGACGTAAACAGTGGTCAGATACATCCAGCATGGGCCGTAATCGCGGTCGGATACATCGAGAAAAGTCCTCGTGTGAGTATGGTCTAAGACTCCTGTTGTCAATGTACCTGAGCTGGCAAACTGTCAGATGAACAATCGGCCACATGATCGAACATCGAAAAGCACTGCAGAAATCGGCCTGACACCGGCAGGAAGGTGCTGCATTTCTTAGCACGACAAAGGAAGCACGATAATATCTATTATAAGTACGAGGGCATTAAAATAAAAATAAAAAAAGTACAAGGGCATACTCACCCTAGGACCTCCTGCACTAAAGCTGCACGTCTTTGTGGTCAGATGCATCTACGGAAATCCTACTGTGAGTACGCCCTCAGTCATCCCTCGAGTTGCTGACCTGACTTGGCAGACAGGACAGCGGACGTGGGACCGCATACTGCCTTCCCTTCCCCTCCCCTCCCCTTCCCTGCTCTGATGTCCACCACCAGAAGGTTATTCTGGCCTTCATCACTGCATCTGGACAGGTTCTCATGCCAGATACGCGCACAAGGCAAAACTCTTTCTTCCACCAACAGGCCTCTCTTAGTTAAGAAACCCACGAACTGTAGAAATGCAGACCTGAGTTCTACTCCAGGAGCATGGTCCCACTAGCAACGGGGATTGGATTAAGATCCCGAATCTGGGCGTGTTTTAGGCAGAGATGCAGAAAAGGAGTTCAATCTCGATTTTTGGCACTTGTCAACAAACGCCGCCAAATTAAGGCGTTCAATCCAATACTCTTTGCTAGTGGGACCTCTTGAAGCGTCCACAGTTCCCGCCTGCAGAGGCGTTTTTTTCAAACGAGGCCGACCGGACCCTTCGTGCGGTTTGCAAATTCGAGAGTCGGCCTCCAGTCTCGGTGGACAAATCGTCGCTGCCCTGTCGTGTAGTGTCTGTCCGACAGTCAAGAATGCTCATGAGAGTAGAGAGTCCGGAGTAATTGCAAGGACGACAGCACTTGATGCCAATCCAGGAGTCTGACAGCACTAGACAGCCTAGACTTGCTCTTGAAATTTTTCATGTGTCTAGCGTAGTGCAGCGAGGCCCAAGGTGAGTGAACTTCTGAAAGGGGTTGGCCACTGATATCTCAAGGATGTTGCCGTCTTTGTCGAAGTTTCTTCTGTTGCTCTTTCTTTTTTTTTTTTTTTTTTTTTTTTTTCTTCTTCTTTCCACCTGACAATGTCTTTCGCCTGGATCAGACAGGCCATGAGGGCCTGGACCTTCCCATGGTCTCACAGTCTTTCTTCGGACTGGGAATCAAAATAGAAAGAGCTTTTGCCCTTTTGCTCCGCACGTGGGGAACCTACCTACAGTAGGGAATTGCCAGAAGAGATCCCGGTAGGAGGGGTGTTAGAAGACAGACTCTGGTGGAGGAAATCGTTGGGGAACCTGCAGTAGGGGGGGGGCTGTCTGAGGGGGATCCTCCAAGGTAGGATGGTCTGCGTCCCATAAATAAATTAAAGTAGTTGCTGACTGTAGATAGGTACCTGTCGTGGGTCCAGAAACCGACCTCGGCAACACCTTGGAACTTAAAATAGAAAAAAGAAAAAGAAAAAAAGAGAGATTTCTGTTTTTTTTTTTCTTTTTTTTTTCTCAAAAGCTATATTCTTCTCTCAATTTCACCTCACACTACCTACCTACCACTACTCCTAATTGTAGGCATACGGGGAACCCCGTAGCAGCCAGAACAGTGTTCACAAGAGAACATGCGGGGGCTGCTCCGCACCTGCAGGTGGGCGATAGCATCAGGGATCATGCCAACAGGACCAATCCTTGTGCCTCCCTTCAGGTCCTCTGCAGGTGGGCGATAGCATCCCTGTGCCTCCCCCCTCAGGTCCCCTCCCCTACAAACATCAGCAGACTGATCAATGCCGATCGAAGGATCCAGTGGTCTATATCTCTAGCTGGCGGGCGGGCGCCAAGCATGCCCAGGAAGGTACATGAGGCCAATGGGGATTGAACCCGCAACCTCCTGAATGCCACTTGCGAGCCTTACCAACTGAGTTCGGCCGCTGGATAGATTTCTGTTCTGGTTGAGCTCAACTCAGGACAGTGCTATTCTAGGCAAGAAGGCTATGCAGAATTCTCAAGTGAGGGCGTCATACTCACACTAGGACTTTTCTAGAGGTATCTGGCTGCAATTACGGCCACACCTGGATGAATCTGACCACAATCACGTCCACAAGTCAGTAGAAAAAGTCCTTGACAATGTGTAAGTATGCTTTGAGTCAGCTCCTCTCTACCCTGTTCAACAGGGGTCCATCATGTATTCTTATTTTTCTGAGCATCAAAGGTTGTCAAATGGGACTCTGGACCCGATTTCCAGCTGGTGCAGCTCCCCACCAATAGAGTGGAACCAGCTACAGACTGATGGAGGTGTCTGCCCTTACCAGCACCTTCAGCAGTCAATGACCCTGGTTTAAAAAAAAAAAAAAAAAAGGAAAAAAAAAAGAGTCGGCTCCTCTCCAGCAGAACAGAGGGCAGTTGGCTAGCAGATGGAGGATAGAGAAAAAAAGTAGTAGACACAAACTGCAACAAGAGTGATATTTCAGCTTTCCAGCACTCAGGGGAGGTGAATGTACCTTTAGGGACTCTTTTCTTTTTCTAGTCTTGAACCTCTAAGACGCGGAGTTGTAAGCAGAACACATGGCATCGCCCCATGCCCACAAACGTTGACGTACACTTTTTTTAACCCCATTGTTG